ATCAATCAAGGTAGGTAGAGGTGCAAAGTGTTAATTCATGTTAAGTTATAAGTTTCTAGCAAATGAAGATTTATGTTAATGTTTGTATGTCTAATGGTACCTTCGGTATGACATACACCTCCATGTCTAATGGTACCTCCGGGTATGGCATGTACTTTCGGTCAAGGCGTCGTGTTAAGTCATGACTCCACGTGTTTGGGATTCTACCGAAAATCCTACTATGAAAAGGTTTCTAAAGTTACAGCTTTGAAATGTATAGCTTGATCATGAATGTACCAATGATATCTATTGAGTTTTATTTTGACTCACAGGTTTAACCCCTTCTCTACAGTTTGATATGATTCTACCTTGGGCCTGGATGATGGAAAAGATGGAGAGTGGTGCAACGAGCCCATGGAAAACCCGGTGAACAAGTTATTTAGATTTATTTTTGTGAACATTTTCAATGTTATTTCTTTAAAGTATTTGAATAACGTTGAACGCGAGAACAAGTTGTGTTTTCTTCAAATAAATTACGTTCCATTTTTTTATTTAGTGTTTTATTTAAAGTATTCGAAAGGTTGTTGTTAAAATTATCATTATAAAAATTAAGCTTTTGCTAAAACATATTCCCCTATGACTAAACCACCGGTTAGTTAAGTAAAGTAAGTAGCGTTTCGGTCCACAAGAGGTCAGGGCGTTACAGCATAGTCCTTACGGATTGAACTTTTTTACTTGTACACTAATTTTTGACACGTTGTTTGACACTTGCAACGTTATCAAGTGTCAATTGGATAGGAAAATTGTATGAAACTTAAACTGTCTAATAGGATAATGTCACGAGGCAACGTGTAAACTAAAATATGTACACCATAGTGTAAATGTAGTATGGTTCTTACAGATTGAACTTTCCTATTCGTACAATGATTTTTGACACGTTGTTTGACATTTCCATTGTTGTCAAGTGTCAATTGGATGAAAAAATTATTTGAAATTCAAACTACCCAACAGGGCAGTATCACGTGGCAAAGTGTAAACTAAAGTGTACACGATAGTGTACAAGTAGCATGGTCCATACTGATTGAACTTTGCTATTTGCAAATTGATTTTTGACAAATTTTTTAACACTTGCATTACTGTCAAGTTTCAATTGCATAGGAAAACTATTTGAAATTTAAACTGTCCAAAGGGTAATGCCACATGGCAAAGTGTAAACTAAAATGTGTACGCTAAAGTGTACATGTAGCAAGGTTCTTACCGATTGAACTTTGCTATTTGTACACTAATTTTTGACACGTTGTTTGACACTTGCATTGTTGTCAAGTGTCAATTGGCTAGGAAAATTGTTTGAAATTTAAACTGTCTAACAAGGTTATGTCAAGAGGCAAAGTGTAAACTAAAGTGTACACCATAGTGTACAAGTCACAAGGTACTTACCGATTGAACTTTAATATTTGTACACTAATTTTCAACACATTGTTTGACACTTGTATTGTTGTCAAGTGTCAACTGGATGCGAAAAATGCTTGAAATTTGAACTTTTAAATAGGGTAATGTCACGTGGCAAAGTGTAAACTAAAGTGTGCAACATGTTGTATGTGTAGCAAGGTTCTTACCAATTGAACTTTGTTATTTGTACACAGGTTTTTGACACGTTGTTTGACACTTGCATTTTTACAAAGTGTCAATTCGATGGGAAAATTGTTTGAAATTTAAATTGTCCAACAGGGTATTGTTACGTGGCAAAGTGTAAACTAAAGTGTACACCATAGTGTACATGTAGCATGGTTCTTACAGATTGA